CAGCTGCCACCCTCTGAAACGTATCCAGAAAAGTGCCAGCTCCCGTCACGCCACAGCCACCCGCTACGCCACTCCCTCTAGTCCAAGCCACCCCCATCTCTCACTGGGACGGCTGATGGACTCCTGCCAGGAGAGCAGAGGCCTGCGAGACGCACGAGGAAGATCCCTCCAGGTCACAGCGCTGGGCGGAGGAGATGGGACACAGCACGAGTGGACGGCTGGCCCCAGGAAGGACAGGAGCGCACAGGCACGAGCGCAGAAACACAGTCTGCCGGAACCGAGGAACCCGGCGAGGCCGGAGAACAGCGACCGCGCCGAGGCCGGCCTCTCTCCAACCATCGGCCCAGCAGAAATGTTTTCCGCAGGGTGGCCCGGAAACATCCACATCAACCACCTCACGGAATCGAGTTTTGAACTACCATGAGCGTGCGTACGTGAATACGCGTCATGTAACTGATTCACATCGATTTCAGATTCGAAATAACGAGCGCGAAGGAAAACGACGCGTAAGCTGAGGACAGGGCCTCAGACGCCGGCGAGGCCGTCCGGAGCGAGCCTTCTGCCGCGCGCCGCCGGGCCCGAGGGCCTGAGGCCACACGCCCCACAGGGCCCTGGCAGGCCCCGCCCTCCCGCAGCCTTCCTCAGGCGACGACTTGCTTCTGTGAAGGCCACGACCGCTGGGGCTTTACGCGCACAGTTCTGTCACGTGCTTAGGAGGCGGCCGCTCTGTGAACGCCCGGGCACTGTCTCCCCCACGGACCAGGAGGGCAGTCCGCAGCGATCATTCGCTTGCCCGGCAGTGAGCCCAAACTGCACGAACCGGGAGATGACGTCACTGCTCTCAGGGGCGGGGCCTTTCAAGATGACTGATGCCTGAGCTCTGAGACTTCAGCCGGCTCCAACTCAGTCATCGATTTCTATACAACGTGGAGGGTGTCACAGGTGGGTGTGGGGCGTGCTGGGGTGTGGATGAGCCATGGGGAGGGCAGAGAAGCTCCCCACCCAGGGAAGGAAGCCAGCAGGGCACACGAGGGAATTACCCGAGCGAGAGACTCCCAGGAGACGGCACAGCTCAGTGTCGCGTGGAACAACCAATTAGACGTGTCACTCACCGACTCGTTGAGCAGATCCTCAACTAGGCCCCCGCCAGGTGCCCACACCGGAGGCACTGAGGGCGCCAGTGGAAAAGGCAGGCCGAGGCGCTCTGAGGGTGGGTCACGGGGACAGGACCAGCCCAGGCGGGGTCAGGCGTCGGAAAAGGTGGAGAAACACTACCTGCTGGGCTCCCATGGCACGAGGGTGGAGGACCAGCCTGGAAAGCCAGGAGAAGCCGTGTCTCTGGCTGTGACAGAAGGAAAGGAAGGAGGGACGATGACACAGCAGGTAAGTGTGTGGCGCTGGCCGTAGTGAGGGAATCCCCAGCAGACGCCTTCCGGGAAGCAGGGGGCAGGGCGCCTGCCCGGCGGGAGGGCCCGGGGCAGGAGGGCACTAAGGCAGGACTGCCCGAGGGAGGGCCCGCGACAGGCTGAGGCACAGCCCAGGGGCGCTGGTTTGAGAGAGTGGTCAGAGGGTCGTGTCTGAGGGCCAGCGGTCTGCGGTGACCTCGGCCTGGCGTTCTCCCGAACGTCAGCAGGCAAAGCAGGCGCGCTCGCTGTGGCCGGCTGGAGGCCTCGGGTGGGACTGCGGGGGGCCTGGCAATGGCAGGAGGAGGGTCGGGGGTCTGACGAGTCTGCAGTTAGATGGGGCCGAAGCCCAGTGCAGGAGGAAGGGGAAGAGGGCGCCAGCTGGCCGCGTGAACGGAGGGCCAGGGCGCGAGGTCTCTGGGAGGCAGGGCGGCCCGGCCTTGACCGGCACGCCTCCCACGCGGCCTCTGGAAACCTCGGCCCCAAGTGTACATTCCAGACACCCGGGCCGATGAGGGCTGAGTCAAGGCACGTGCGTGACCCCAGCACGGAGAGCAGAGCCTGAGCTCGGGGACTGTTCCAGCGAGGGTCATCACCACTGCCACCGTCACGATGGCAGAGGCGTGACGAAGGCACTTCCTGGTGCTGTCACGCCGAGGCCACGCCACGGCACCCAGGGAGAGGCGAGGGAGCTATGGCATCACGTGGGGGGCGGGGACCCTCAGGCAGGTGCCGCCCCCACTGTGGCCACCCCAGCCTGAGGTCTGAGACTTCAACCGGCTCCAATGCGGTCTGAGGGAAGACGAGAGCACACTGACACGGCAGGACGGCGTGTCTCGATCGCCTGGGGGCTAACCAGATCTGCCCCAGACCGACTATCAGGGTGTCCAGCGGGTGCCCAGCGGGTACCACTAGCAGAGAGTTCACCACGACAGAGGCGCCACACGCGACTTCTTGTCATGAAAATAAGCGCGAAATTACACCGTGAGGTAAAAATGATCCTCACGGGGTCTTCTAATTCTGAGCCCCACCCACACCCCAGCTCTGTGCTGGGGACGCCAGGCAGAAGACAGCCAGGCAGGGCCCACTGCCTTTCCTCCCCACACCAGGTGAGCACCGATCACAAAACCGTGTCCCTGCAGTGGAGGACGTGGCACCCATGGGCTCTCTCCTCTCCCGTCTGCTCAGGGGCAGGATGCTCACAGGCTCACCTTCTAGCCAGAAACCGGGAAGGGAGAGCCCCGAGGACCCCTGGGGTGGGCTGTCAGAGAAGAGGGCCTGGGTAAGGGGTCCTGGATGACCTGGGTGGCCCACAGGCGACAATGACTGGAACCAGCACAGCAACGGCTTTGAGAACTAAACCAGGGCCCAGGGTTCACCAGGGTGTCCCGCGGAGAGAGGGGGCGGGCTGTCGGGACCTGCAGGCACCGCCGGCTGCGCTGCGGACGTGCTCAGAGGCAGTCAGCGTTCTTCAGATCCTCGCAGGACCCAGAGCCCCACACGTGGGAGTCGGGACGTCCGAGACACAATCCAAACGTAGACAACAAAGGGAACAGAGGAACCCACGACAGGCTGACCCAG